TGGGATAAAATTTTCAGTAGAAGATTCACTTGGAAATTTTTAGACGTGTGTGTATATAATTTTTAATTACTTCTTCCATGTGCTAACATTGCCAAATATTTTCTGTGCCTGTCTTTCTATTTCAACAGCTAAACAGATCCCCATAAAGGTGATCTTGCTGAATTAGCTGTCCAGATTTGCTGTATGTTGCCTGGATCGAGTTGTCTTTAGACTACTAGTCTGCACTGCTCCATGGCAGAGTTGTGCACTCAGTTTTACAGTCAAATAGGGTTCCTGTTCCACGAAGGGTAAGACTAAGGCATATTTTAAAATGTGTACAAAAGAAAGGGAGAGGAAAAAAAAAGACTTTCTTTGGGACTCGTGTTAGAAACAAGTTTTTACAGCAATTTTTTTTTAATAGTTGTTTGCTAATTAATTGTAACCAATTCAGAAATGAAGATACTAGTTTAATTTGCTATGCTTTCTTTCTATGGTGAAAGTTGCAGAAACCCAGCATATTGATCACTTGGTGATAAGACAACTCCCTCGTAGAGAGGATTATTGAGCACAATAAAAATAGACTCTGTATGGCCAGGCAGATAAAAGGCAGTCATAAAACACTTGCCCACGTTTAAAAACAAAAAAAGGAGTTAAGGAATTCTAGAGACATAACAATAAAACTGCAGGACATCCAAGGCAGCCTCCATAGAATGAGAATGTATTTTATGCACCTAGGAAAGTACATATTTGTCTATTGGAATTTAAAAAAATCTAAACAGGTTAGGCAAGAGGTCCATCTGGCTCAAGACAGATAGACAGTCTTGAAAAATGTAATCACCCATAGCAACAAGCAGTAGATTACAAAGTTCTCTCCAGAAGCTTCTTCAGTCTAAAGACAGGAAGGGCTAATGTATCCAATCTGTCATGACATCAGGAAGAAAGTATGAGATCTGCAGAAAGGCAAATCATCCCTTTCCTAACCGTTTATCTCCCCTTCTTCCTCATTTGTGTGAAGTTGTGAAGTAGGAAGCCTACACTGACATGTCTCATTGACAGTGGGGCGGCTGAACTGAGGTGGACATTAAAATGTATTTTGGTAGGGAAAAACTGTCAAAATAGGCAATTTTGAAAATGGTGAGTGGTTAACAGCTTAAATATTTTCAATACATTGTGATTAATTTCAACAGAAAACAATGTCTTGTAAACACCAGTAAAAAATCATTGCAACAGCATCTGCAAAAATATTATTATTCCCTTTCCAGATAAAGAGCATCTGGTAGACTGACATCCAGCAAACATTTCAGAGAAAGTCTGTGACAGAGCTAGAACAAGAATGCATCCTTCCTTACTGCAAACCTTGAGCTCAGTCCCCTTGCCCATATTTTCTTGCATAATTCTTTGTAACCTTTCTCTCTTCTCTATTGGAAGAAGTTGTTCAGCCTAACTTGACTCAGGCAACTTCTTTGAAGAGATCCTAATTATGCTATTGGTCTTACGAACAAAGGTAGACAATATCTTTAGAGGAAAGGGGAAGAAAATATTCGGTCTCTATTTCATTTTCATTGGTTACGTTTTCCAGGTTCTCTTGAAGGGGAAAAAAGAAAATTAGGGAAGGAGAGGCAGGGAGGAAGAGATTAGAAACAAAAAAGCTAGAAAGATGTTAAAAACTGAGGTCAGATCTGTCTTGTTGGGTCACTGCAGGAAGCAGATTCACTGATGAGGGCATGGAGACTGCAGACTCCAAAGGTTAATATTTGTGTTCAAACTATGACAAGCGACCTACAGGTTCCAGACCGATCATGATCCTAGATCTCCTAGATCTATTTTAAGAGTATATTTTAAGGGTTGGGAGGGTTTTTGGTGATAGACCCAAACCAAGTCCTTAATCAGACATACACAAATCAATTTATAGTGTGCTTACACAAGGCAACGTGGCCTGGTAAAGACATACCTGAATTAGCACCAGCACCTGAGGCAGTGCCGCCACTTTGACTTGATGCTGTCCCCAAAGTAATTAGCCCTGTAGGGAGGCTCATTAGCTTCGGCACATAGCCATGCTAATGCAGCTGCACTGTTCTGAGGATCCAAGCTAAACTCTCCAGACAATACTGTACATACTATGTGGTGTTAGTTTAGGATTCCTGAGTAGGATAATCCCTCCTTTACTCATCTCTTACATTATCCCCTGTTCTCTGATCCCCATCCCATCTGCGGCACTGCTAAACATTTTCTGATCCCTGAATTATCTTTATTTCATGGGCCCTTGCTATTGCTAACCACAAATCTTTCATATTTAGTGGAGTGCTGCAAATACTACCTCATGCCAGTTAGAGGTGCACAATACAAATTCGGTGGCTGAACTTGCTTAGAAAATATCAGAGGTAGCTGAACATACATAGGTGGGTTAGCAGATGGTTGTAGCATACAGATCAGCCCCTTAGTATTTCCAGTATGTGAATCTCCTTCCCCACACTTATCTGCTGTGCACACATTACAGAACTATTTCTCTTCCTTTTTCTCACTTCTGTTTTTCTTTTACAGAAAGTTCAATCTCCTCATCTCCAAACCAGTGCAGACAATGCCTTGCCTATAGCTTTGTGTCCTTCTATCTCATTCCATTTATATCTAATTGGAAAGAGTCAAAGAGGAAGACCTACCTATTTCTTGTACCAGTGTCTACTTCCGTCTCTTCTTACATCCCACCTTTTATCTTTGGAAGTATTTCCCAAACATATGTAACAAATGTCACCCTTACCTCTCCCCAGTAAAACCACTTGAAACAACTTAGCTATAAAGGCACTAGCTACTCTGTCCGTTCTTTCAGAGCAGCAAAATCCTAGCTCCGAATGCACTGCATTTTTATATTTGTCTAAAGCTTGTACTTTCACTGTCATATTCTTTTTCAGGTTACTATGCATTAGACACGGTCTCATAATGTAGTCGTATAATGTAACCTACTTCTCTACATACGTAGAAGCTGTGAGAGAGAGGGTAGCACAATCAGTTTTGTGCAACCAATCCTAGCTCTTAGACTGTCACTCTTATGCACTAATCTGAGGGAGCTTGAATTTGTTTCTGTACTTTGTGGTTATGAGCATCTCACTGTAATGATTTTAAAATGGTCACCTATACATTTTTATGAGAAGAGGTAAAGAAATGTCCCAAAGGTAAATTTAGAATGCTTCATGGAATGGATTTCATTTTATAAAGAAAGAATAAACACTACTACCCAAATTCTACTAAACACAGTGGTAGTGCAAGTTGTTGAGGTCATTGCTGGATACAGCTCTTAGTGGCTGTGAAGAGTTTTTCTAAAGAAGCTCATGATTTAATAATGTTCTTATCATTGTGCTCAAGGAGAGAAGGACTTGGCTAGAGTAAAATTTATGCAAACACACCTTATCACCCCACAGTAGCTGATTTTTTTTATGCTATCAGTGAGAACTGGCATTTTTCCAAGGAGGTGTGTCAGAGGTAAATGAACATGGCACTGAAGTATCCTATTGTGTTGTAATAGTCTTGCTGGAGACCTGAAGGTGTGTCTCCGCTTTTATAAATACCACACTGCTGTTGTAACTAACTGATTCTTTTGACGGTACTGAGTTTCATCGTGAGTTGCATCTGGAGAACTCCAAGTACCTTGCAAGGTATGTCTTTTAGTTATCTTACTTCTGCACTGTTCCACTTGAAACAGAACATTACTGTCACATCATTATTTGTTTTAATCATATTAGTTGCCATATTTGCAATAGAACTGTAAATACTATATGGTATTTTCTATAAGGATCAATTTATAGTGGGTTTATGCAGTGAAAATCTCTGTGCCTGGAATACGGCATGAACACAATAAAGTAAGAACTATGCAAAAGTGGGACCTGCTCACATCCGCTGAATACCTATTTTTCAAGATTAGTAAATTTATGAAACAAAAGATATCTGCAGATAGATGAATGCTGAAATAGGTATCGTATTAGCACGCCATCACATGAATGTCTGCTTTCTTACATGGAAACTTGGCTAAAGAAATGGCCAAGATGGAAACATCTGAACAGTACATTTAGGGATCTGATCAACTAAATGCCAGATCTGAACCCTCTGCTATTATGGTACGCTCTGCTAGAGCTTTGATCCTGAAAGCTTCTTCACACAGAGGAACTTCTAGAGAAATGTGCTTTGTGCAATGCAAGGATCAGTTTGATGATAATTTGCTAACTAGCTACATTTCAAAACTGAAAAGTTCCACTTGTCCCTTGAGTTGGGTAGTTTTAGACATAGCCAGGCATCTTCAAAAGCAGGAAGATATTTATTTTTGTTTAACAGTCAAGGCACTGAAGAATGTATGACTGGTTACTCTTTTTAGCATCCAAAAAGACTAAAATATTTCTGTCAATAGAAATCTGAAATATTGGCATTACCAGTGAATTAAGACAATTTGCAAGAGGCATAAGAAGTAATTTTGCTTAACTTAACACAAATGGCTTCCTTTCTGTTTGGTGCATTTTTTAAAGAAAAGCCAAAGATTGGAGTCAAAATGGCTTGTGTGCCATTCACAAAACCTCCAGGAAATGGGAGGTCACGGGAACAACCGTTGCTTTATGTTATATAAATTCAGACGTTCACCTGAGATAGACAAGTCCCAGGTTCAAATTCCTTCTCTGACTGCAGCTGAGATTTTTTTAATTAAGGTGCCTCAATCACTGGGCTGTGGCATGACCTGGGAAAGTATGTCTTCTGTTGGAGCTGTTCCATGTTGCATAGATAATTAAGTAATTGGATCAGAAAGACTTACTCCCTAGCCAGCTACATTTTTCAAGAATAATATGAAATGGCTCTAGAAACCAGAGATTATTCACACATAGCCCAGAGGATCCTGTCAGTAACATCACTCTAATATGCTATCAAAGACTAGTGCAATACCATGTCCAAGATACTGCAAGCATTCAGTCCAGAATTAAGTGAAAATATTTTAATGCATATATTTTTTTTCAGTTGGAAAGCAGATAACAAGCGAAACAAAGGCCATGAAGATCAAAAGCTTTGGACTTCTTTGTATGTTGCTTCTGGTCTCTCAGATGCTACTAGCTAATTGTGAAAGACAGAAGGAAAGAAAAAAAGAAAGACAAAATATAGAAAAGGGTGGAAAAAAACAAGCTGAACCTAATGAACAGAGTGAAAAGGGGAGGAAGTCAAATGGAGAAAAAGCATTGCCTAAAGGCAAGTTTAAAACCAAAGAAAATGCTGAGTGCACCTGGGCAGTGGCTGACATCAACGCTGCTACTGTGCACATAGAATGCAAGAATGGTGAAAGCAAGTTCTGGTGTGAATTCACAGGAGACCCTTCCGCCTGTCCACAGTATGCAGCAAACCAGAGATCCTACTGGAAACAAGTCTCCCGATCCCTAAAGAAGCAGAAGCAGATCTGTCAAGACTCCAAAAGTGTGCTAAAATCTAAAGTTTGTAGGAAAGGCCCACAAAGTGCTCACCTCGAATTGACAAACTCAAGCCTGTTAACATCAATGGGTCCTGTGAAAGGGACTGCAACTCATCACGCAAAGGAAGGCACACGGACTTCAGCCTCTGCTTCTGTGACTAAAAAGCAGCCAGAACAAAGTTCCCAAGACTGTGTTGAAGACATAGATTATATTGATCAGAGAAAGGTGGCGGAGGAATACTGTCCAGAAAGCTTACTCTCTTTCTGCAACTTTTTTATCGCCATGGTACAAGACAAAAAATGCTGAGCAATATTTGTAAAGCTCTGAATCACACTTTCTTGTCTCATCTAAGTTGCTACAAACTATTCTAGATTTTATTCTCATGTTACATAGTGTATATAAGGAAAAAAAGGCATACAGCTATATATTTATGTGTCTTTTGTGATTTTGTGTTTACGGAACAGACTACACTTGGCATAGTTGCAGATGTTATAGATTTGTTTGCATATATATTGCTATGCAGATGTTACCAGTAGATGTTACATATTCAACATAAAGGTAAATAAGTAGTCTCCTTGTCCCTCTCTGAGCTGTGCTAGCCAAAGTGATGTGTTCAGTGCTATGCACTTCTTGGTTGTGTACAATACTTTTGACCTAAAAATTACTAAGAAAAATAAACTTCAAAATACATTCAAAATATTCTCTCTCTTTCTCTGTGTTGAAATTAGATTCCTCTGTAAGTGCTAGACCTTTATCAAAGATAGATCATTCACAGGATCCAGGCACAATGGTGATTATAAAGCAGTTTTAACAATGCTCTGCAGCTTTGCAGAATTCAGCTATCTCAACCAGAATAAGTAACATTTTGATAGGCAAATATATTGTCACTAATTTTTCATCATCATGATAATAAAAGGAAAAAAGATTTTCGAATTGTCATAATTTTGCAAAGCTTTGACTTCCGAATCTCATCAAAAGATCTCAGAAAAGTTTGCAAACTTAAATTCTTTCATCTCTCCTGTGGTATTTGTATTCTGGCAGGTACACTGAGACACAGGGATTAAATGGCTTGTCCAGGTTCAAATACCAACACAGTAATGGACCAAAGAAGAGGCCCAGAACTGGACACCTTACTCTATCCACTAATACACTTGGGCTCCCTGTTGCTTGTACATTCTTTTGAAGTTCTGTTATCTTTGTCTATGGGCAGCAGTAATAAATAATTTTCTATGGTTTAGATTTCATCTGTATTTTTTGAAAAATAGCCAAACTCTTCAAGAATAGAGATTTTAGAAAATCAAAAGCTAAATAATGACAACTGATCTTTGCTAATCTTTGAAACTCCAGCTGGAAGCAATGTAATATACAAATTAAACTCTTCTGCTGGCGTTGGGCTGGTAACAATGGTCTTCTACCACAGTGATCTGCGTGGAGAAACTTGAACTTTCATGAAGTAGAATTTTCGTGAGCATTTCTAGCAGATTAAAATAATATTTCTGTCTCTCCACTTGTATAGCCTTTTTCCTGCTATAGTTATCCCACCGTGCTGCCCTGGCTTGCCCTCAGTCTTTTAGGGAATATCTGTAAGATGGGTAGTTATGATTAACTCATCTCCTGCCACTTCCCTCTTTTCCTTCACTGTCACACATTCTCACTTTTTATTTAAATGAGCATGTCTAGGGTGGATGTTTTAATATCTCTTTAGCTTGTTTGTAATGTCGTAGAGGCATAAGCCATTACCTAATATCAGTTTATATTTTCTTTGCAATGCAAAAATAGATTAGAAAAAGTACTTAAATTGAGACAGAAGCCCTCAATAAGAAGAGGAAAGTGCTACAAAACACAGCTTTTCAGCTTTTTGCATGACAGTAGGGATCATGCTCTGTTACACAACCTGAAATGATTTTGCAGTCAGGAAGAAGGCATGGCATCAGCTCTGATGCGAGCCACAGTACTTAAAGAGGATGTTATTCTGGATTTTCTCATAAGTACTTGGTTTGGTATGCAGTTACATTTTTTTGCTACTTGTGACATTGCTACAGGCAAATTAATCTCTATGAGACTAATGCCTTGAATATAGCATGCAAACTCTGTAATTTTAAAAGGATTCAACTGTATTTTATAAAGTCCAAATGGCAGAAAGGAAGCAGGTCCTTTTTATGAAGCTCTAACCTCTCCATGCCCTTTGGGAGAACTAGGTATTACCAGGATATAGAATATAAGTTCTGTTAGACTCTGCCCACTGCAAAGCAAAATTCTGGTAAAGAGGATTTGGCGCTAACTCCTGAGGAGGCTGGAGGACATATAGTCATTCTAGTGCCAACAAGGTGGAAAAACAGCTACCAGTTCCTTGCTATCCAAACAGATATGTAAGTATTGAAAGCGCAACAGAGTTCTAGCTTCTAGACACCTTGTCTTTTGGCATAAACCACTTAGTGTTAGGAGACTGTAGAAATAAGAAAGTGAAGAGACGCAGAGGAAGCACTAGGACCAAATATTTGGCTCAAGCAATCACATACTGAAGCAGTTAAGCATGAATGCCTAATCCAGTATACAGATACCTGTAAAATAGTCCCAGCTCACAACTAGAGCACTGGCCATGGCTGGCTTAAGAGCCTGCTATTACCCTCACAAATATTAAATTAAGTAAGTAAGTTCTTCATTGCGTTAAGTGTGATCCGCCCCTCACTGTGCTGCCAGGAGGCACTGCTCTCTCTGTGGCTGCTGGTCAGCCAAGCACACTGAGCCAGAGTGACATATCCCAGAGCAAATTTGAGCCCAAGATTCCAGACCTGAAAGTTAGGTATCTGTGTGCAGGAGTGTCAGGAGCTGGAATCATGTGTGGGAGCTGCACTTTCTTCAGCAGGGATGTGGGATGTGTTCCATTTCTGCTTCTTTGTCTTCCTATTTTCTTTCAGGACCTATTTGTATCTCTGCACCTGGCATTTTCCAGCAAGAAAACATGCTCCATCTCAACAGTTCCAGGGTTTGTTTCACCTGTGATGTGTGGAATTGTTCCAATATCCTACAAGGATGGTGTAAAACACTAGGTCAGACATGAGGAAAAGCATGGGGATGTGCGGCCTTTTTCCTTGGAAAGTGGGGTTAATGTAAGAGCGCGCATGTCAGAACTGCCTCAACCAAACGATGGGATTTTTAACCTTCTGCGGGTATGTAATTTTACCTGTTCTTCAAAAGGGGCACATTTCAGAGTAGCAAGATCTGAGGAAGTATGGCTGGATTCCAACTTCAAGAACAATCTTTTCTGTAACAGTGTAGACCACAGGTCTATATACTTCTGAGCTTTCATGCCATTTGCCAAGCCTTGTATTTTACTCATGCATCTACAAAGCCATCACTTGACAACAGTTACATATGAGCTGCTTTCTTCTGGGCATTACAGAACCAATTAGGTCAGTATAACCTTGATGCTTCAGGAGCCAAGCTGGTTAGAGTAAATAAAGCATTTCCTGGCATTCTTCATCTCAAGATATGTGATCATTATAAAAAAGTTCACTCTTGAGTTCTATTCTATGCATTTATTCCCTAAGTGCACCAGTTGTCACTGTGTCAAAACTTCAGGTTTGAATAATTTGGAGAAATGGTTGTAGTGAGTTTTCCAACACCTCCTGCATGGTAGGGCAAGAGGGAGCACACTGGATGAAAACATTTGTGCAGCCCAAGGCCTCTTTTCTACCGTCTTCAAAGCATAAGGAGTTCTGCTTTCTTAGAGGCTCTCTGAGTTATGGAAACATCATCCCCATTTTACACCTGGGGAAAGGATTTATAGAAAGAAGGAAAGGATAACCTAGAGTCATGAGAAGAAAATCAGTGGCTGAATCAGGAACAAAACAGAGGTCATCAGAGTTTCATTGGCCCCTGTCTCATGTCTCATGATTAGATCGTTCTGGACAGGCACAACATATACTTAGTCTGTAAAGTATCCAGCTAACTTCTTGGTATTTAAAAATTATTAGGAGTATCTTTGGAAGAAATGTAGTTTTATTTCTGGTACAACGTAGTTTGTTTCCACAGTTTCTATAGTTTGTTTTTGTAACCCAGTGTATTATAATTTGAACATTTACTTAGAAGGAAGAGTAGGACTTTTGAAGATGGAAAACTCGTTCTAGTTTCAGAGACAAAGAAATTTCAGGGAGTTTCCCTACTCTTGCGGTGTGGAATATTGATACATATGGTAACCTCTTTAGACTATGGATGATCTTTTTAGGTAGTCCCAACCCACATACTTACAAACTCTTCCCAGAATTCAGAAAGACAAAAAAAAGATTGAAAAAGAAGAGGAGAGAAAATTTTGAAACTCAGAGTTTTTCCAAAGATCTCTCCTAAGATACGACAATTTTATCAAGAGAGTTTTAGATATGTCTCTGTATTTACTGGGAAATGGAGAGATATTATTAGTGCTCAGCAAATAGCTCTGGCAATGCAATACTAGTTAAAAATCTTTAAAGTGTCAGATCCCTTACTTTAAAGCTTTTATTCTTTTATTATTTTCTGTAATATATTTTCTACTCACTTTCACACACTATTTCATTTTAATGAGTTTCCGTTCCTTTTGCAACCTCCTTTATTCATTTGCCACTTTGGCAACAGTACAGATTGCACATCTAATCTCATAATACATTGCAGAACTGCTTGTAGGAGAATAGAATGAGTGACTCAACCCTCCTGCTTTCAAGAGTGCCCAACTCTCCTCTTCCCCTGAGGGAGCCAATGAGTACCTACCGCCTGATATCACCTCACCTGAGTTTGGCCAACCATTGCAGAAAACGAATGTTCAGTCGTGACACATTTTATACTGCTGTGCTAAATGTGTGTAGACACAGCTGAACCTAGATAACAAATTCCCCTCCCTTTTCCACCTTTGCCTTATATTTTTCTGATGCTGCCCTGAGCAGGGCAGCTCAATACTTGTTGGTAGCTGCCACACCTCACCTATACCTTCACCCTGTTTTCATTCAGTTTCAATATATTATATTGTTTGTTGCTCTAGGCTATTTCCAAGAGTGATTACCGCTTTGATTAGCACTTTGATTAGTCCCAGCCCCGGGACTTGATCAAATGGGAAAACCCAGCTTAGAGGCCAGAAAGTTCCACAGGTTCCAGCTCGCAAAGGTGTCTTGCAATCTTGTCAGTCTGATGGCAGTACCATCTCATTCCATGGTGGAGCATGCACAGCTTCTTGCCCTTCAGCCCCGTGAACGGTCTTACAGATCCCATGCATCTCAGTAGCACCATAGGTATGCCAGTCTTCTAATGTCTCTGAGCTTCTCTCTGCTGCTTTCCTT